ATTCCATTGTTTAAATAACACAATAGTTTTTAGTCTTAAAACTTAAAATATATAAAAAAAATATAATTCTTTTATTTTTTCAGAGGATAATGCATCAAATTTAATTGGTGACTTCAGTCAATCATTTATATTGCCTTTGTTATCACTTGGTCGTCATGCAGATCTCCGTAGCATATCTCCTGATACATTAGCYCRTTTATTGGAAGGCTCATTCAATGATTGTATCGACTCCTATCTTATAATAGATTGCAGGTAATTTCAATATAAATCTATTGTAAGTAAAATTATGTTTTGTATTTATTAATTTATTTCATTTGTAGATATCCATATGAGTATGAAGGTGGTCATATTAGAGGTGCAATCAATATATATACTAAAGAGCAACTACTTAAAGATTTTACTGAAAATAAGCTGGGTAAAAAATCTCAAGAAACTGATAAAGTTAATGCTAAGAGAAATGTGTTAATATTTCACTGTGAATTCTCATCAGAAAGAGGTCCAAGTCTGTGAGTATAATTTAATGTATTTAATTTTAATTTTTATAATCCATTAATTTTGATAGATTTTAATTTATTTTATATTTATTCTCAGTCCAGTGAGAGGACATAACATGTATAAGTAGTCTTTTGTTAGTACAATAGTACATTTAAACTTAGGATGACATTAAGAAATATTTTTTACATTTTTGGTGGATTATATTAAACCATTTAAAGACAGAAAAGTCTACTTAAGTTATAATGATTTATTATATCAACCGTAAAATTATTTTGTTATATCTTAATATCTTACTATTGAAAATAATTAGCTAATAAATAAAGCATAAAATTAATCAATTCAACAATAGTTAATGTTGTTTTTAAGTTATAAGGTTTTATTCTTTTCATTGCAAAATATACATTAAAGTATAGTTACATTGGTCCTATAAATGTTAAGGTACTAATAAAATATGATTGAGCTGTTTCACATTGTTTTTAAAGTTAACTGAATAAATTATAACTTGTTTTGTTTGTTTTATAGGTCACGGTACTTACGTAATGCAGATAGGCAAAAAAACAGTATGTGTTATCCTTACTTGGACTATCCAGAAATGTATTTGCTTGATGGKGGATACTGTAAATTTTACAGTCAACACAGTAATTTGTGTGTGCCGTCTAGCTATCGGTCAATGTATGATCCTGCCCACACCTCAGAACTAAGAAAGTTTAGGTCCAAATCAAAAACCTGGGCTTGTCACAATGATGCAGCRCCACGATTAGCTGGCAAAAATACGTTCAAGCGATTGGGTTTTAATTAATCACTTTTTTTTGTATTCTTTCATGTAAATAAGTGTTGAGATTTTTTTTTTATTTGATTTTTTTTCGTATTTTATTTTTATTCTTTTTAACAATTTAACCAATTTTTTTCTGTTTTAAAACTGATATGTTGAAGTATTAAATTAGATCCCAGTGCAATTTTGTATAACTTTGTGATGCTATATTATAGTAAAAGCACTGTTATAGCTAAGTTTCCAAAAAAAAAAAAAAAATCAATATTTATCGTTTAATCATCAGTTTTTGTGGTTTTAGTTATTTGATATAGATTGTTAATATAAAATCGTACATACAGTTTATTTTGTAAGTATGTTTGTGTGAATATATTTGTTAAGTGCAATGTGATTTTTTTATGGAACATAAAATTTAAAAAAAATCAATGTTAGTTGGTGGTGTGTAAACATTAAAAAAAAAGACTTGTAGGATTAATTTTGTTTTTTAAAATGCATTACTAAAATATAAGTGAATGTATTCATTTTTATTATTTTTTCATATTGCTTTGCCATTTGTATTCTGCATTTTATGTGTAGTTAGTAAAATGTGTAAAAT